CAAAGATTGTCTCCCCTGTCAGACTGGGAGCTCCTAAAGCAGGGTCACACCTCCTCCCTCAGATCAGCAGTGAGCGTCCCTGCCTGTCCCTTCTGTCCTGCTGCTTTGGCTCCCATCCCCACTCCAGACTTGATCCAGCGGGAACAGGGGCAGGCACAGCCCCCAGCCAGCCCCCCGCCCCCCAGCTCCTTCCTGAGGTCCCATCCGCTCTAAGCACATAGTGAGCACCTGTTCATGCCGTGCACTGACTATTACTCAGCCATGGAAAGGACTGAAGCACCGACACAGGCCACAGGGGTGAGCCTTGAGGAGCCAGGTGTGAAAGGCCACAGGGTGTGAGTCCATTTATGTGAAATGTCCAGGACAGGCAAACCTTCAGGAACAAAAAGTAGGTTCGTGGATGCCATGGAATAGAGATTTGGGGAGAATAAGGGGTTACTGCTAAATTTGGGGTGATAAAATGTTCAGGAATTAGATAGTGGAGAGGGTTACACAATCTTCTGAACATACTAAAATCCACGCAAGTATACACTTTAAACAGGTAAATTGTAGGGTATGTGGATTGTATCTTTTTAAAAAGTGCCCACTCGCCCTGGCCAGTGTGGCTCAGTTGGTGTTATCCGGTGCACCAAAGGGTTGCCCCTTAGATTCCTGGTCAGGGCACATACCCAGGCTATGGGCTCAGTCCACGTTGGGGGAGGGCAGGAGGCAGCGGATTGATGTTGCTGCTCTCACAGCGATGTTTCTCTCTTTAAAAATCATTATTTAAAAATAAAAATAGCCGAAACCGGTTTGGCTCAGTGGATAGAGCGTCGGCCTGCGGACTGAAAGGTCCCGGGTTTGATTCCGGTCAAGGGCATGTACCTGGGTTGCGGGCACATCCCCAGTAGGAGATTTTCTAACTCTCTATCCCTCTCCCTTCCTCTCTGTAAAAAATCAATAAAATATATTTAAAAAATAAAAATAAAAATAAAAAGTGCCCCAAACAGTGCCAGGCAATAAGTGCTCAACAGAGGTGAGCTGTTACCTTCCCATAGAAAAGATGGGAGAACACTCCAAACCACTGCCCAAGGTCAGGCAGGCTGAGCCCCCCCACCCGGGAGGAGCCCTATTGAACCGCCTGGGGGTGGTGCTGGGGGAAGGGAGGACACCAGACCACCCACCTTCTTGCCTCTGTCCTGTAGGGCCCCCTCCAAGCATCGCTCCATGGCTCCCTGGTCTCCAATCAGAAAGCCAAACCCCAAGAGGTTATGTGGCTTCACAGGTCATACCTCAAGGTCGCAGGATGCCCAGCCCGGCTCTCCTGTCCTCCTCCTCCTCCAGCGCCTCCCCCCCGCCCCCCCTGCCTGGCGGTGGAGGGGCAGCCCCAGGAGAAGCCAGCTCAAAAGCGCAGGAAAGTCAAATGCCGTTTGATTCCGCCTGCGGGGCCTCTCATTGCTATTCCTGACACAAACTGTAATTAGAAGGCCCTTTCAAATATTTATACCTCAGACGCCGGGTGTTTACTCGCCAGGGTGAGGACTCGGATTTGATGAGATCTGTCATCAGCTCAGCCCTGAGCCGAGCCTGGAATTGCCTGGCGGCGGACAGAAAACAGGACAATTACCCGCTGTGCTCCCCAGCGGTCCCCAGGGATGCTGCCTGATCAGAGTGGGCATGTTGGGGTTGGGAGGCTGAATGGATGTGCTTCGGGAGGGAGGACTGGGTTCAACAGGTTTGTGTTGGGTGACACAGCCAGAGCGAGAAAGAGGAGGACACAGGGAAGCAAGCCCCTGCTGCTGTTAGAGGCTTTGCCTTGTCAGCTGTGGACCTCAGTGTTCCCATCTGGAAAATGGGGCTAGCAGTGGAGGGGAGACGGAGAGCCACTGATTCCATGAAGAGACTCTAGTGGGTCTCTAATGCCACCCCAAGCCAGGCCATATCCTGGCGTCCAGGGAGAAATGAGCCGCGGGGTGGCTCTGAGCAAGTCCTGCTCCCTCCCCGTGCCTCAGTTTCCCCACCAGGAAAAATGGCTCTCCCTCGGGCAGTCCTTCCTCTAGCTCTTTGGGGGTTTCCTATCAGAAGTCCCATATTTTAAGCCACAAAAGCAAAGTGTGGAAGCATAGACATAGCCCTAGCCCCACTGTTCTTCTCAGGGGCAGCGAATATGTAACCGGATGAACAATGGGTTCGTGCTGCCCGTCACTACTCGAGCCAATGAAGCAGAGACAGGGTTGAGTCATGGCCTCCTTTTTCTCTCCTTTTTACCCTCTCCTGAGCCCAACCAAGGGGCACACCTGACCCTCCTCCTCCTCCTCCTCACTCTCCCCCTCCTCCTCCTCCCCCTCCTTCCTGGGAAATCTGCTGAGCAAGGCACCTGGAAGAGGGCATGTGTGTCTCCCCTTTACAGTAGCCACAGAAACCTGCTCTGCACCCCACCATGAGCCAGGTGCTTATATAGTAAAAGTACAAAGGAGAAGTAGGCAAAAGGGCAGTTCACAGATATGCAAAAGGACTAGGGATTCTCAAAGGGCTGAGTGATATGCAGGGGCTGGGGTTACACCGGGAAATAGCCAAAAGGAGTGCCAGATGGGCAGTTAACAGGTAAGCAGGCTGGAGGTCTGCAAAGGCCTGCACATGTGCAAAAGGGCTGGGGTCCTTCAAAGGGCTGGTGATTCCGGTTTCTGCAGCAAAGTTGTTCATCTTTCCATGATAACAGGCAGCTCCAAACGGGGAGGAAGGGCGGCGTCTCCGGGTCAGCTCCAGCCCGGGTGGAATGTGCCTTCGTTCATCAGAATAAAACAATCACGGTGAACAGAGCAGGATTAACGTTTCTCACAATACTAGCTGCTGCCCCTTTCCATCGCCCTAGCCCCACTGCTCTTCCCAGGGGCAGCTCACAGCACCTCAGCTGTTGTTCATCTTTCCATGATAACAGGCAGCTCCAAATGGGGAGGAAGGGCGGCATCTCCAGGTCAGCTCCAGCCTGGGTGGAATGTGCCTTCTTTCATCAGAATAAAACAATCATGGTTAACAGAGCAGGATTAATGTTTCTCACAATACTAGCTGGTTCCCCAAATTCTACTGCTGCCCCTTTCAATCGCCCTAGCCCCACTGCTCTTCCCAGGGGCAGCTCACAGCACCTCAGCTCTGACTTCGGGTCCTCCCTCCCCTCCACGCCTTAGGCACCTGCCCAGCCTGGGGGGCTGGGATCCCACCCTTCCTGACCACCCTCTCTCACTCCAGTATTAGGGGACTGAGCAAGCCCTTATGGGGAACGAAGGCAAATGTGTTGGCTCTGGAAGTGGCCGCTCTCCCTCCCCCAAACCTCTAGTGTCCTCGCCCCCAGACGCTGCAGCTGCCGCCAGGCCGCCAGGCCGCCAGGCCCAGCAGACCCCTCATTTCTGTCCCCCTCCCTGCCCCTCCCCAGAAGCCACAAAGGGACAGATGCTGAGGACACTCGCCAGGCAGATACCATCTCCCTTCCCCTGGCCAGCTGCCCCAGCCCTCTCCCCATCCTGCCATTAGTCCCCCTGGGGAGTCCTGGGGGGCGGGGGGAGCCGATCCCCGGCGTTGCTTCCCTCTCTCTTCCTCTGTGTCAGCCTCGCTGCGGTGACCCCTGCGACAATCCCCACAGCCCCATCTCCGGGTCAGCTTCGCCGCCAGACCCTGGTCCAATTTGAACGCCCAGGCGTGGTGGTCACTCTCACCCCCTCTGCTGGTCAACCCGCCTGTCTCGTGGTCAAGTCCAGCCCCCCATTTCCCGGCCAATTTCCACCGCCCTCTCCCCAATCCCGCCCGTGCGCCTCTCACTCTCCTGAAGGTCAGAGATTAAAGATAGGACAGCATAGATTAGACCCCAATGCCCTTCACATCTAAGGAGATGACACTGTTAATCAGTAAGACTCAGGATCCTTCTCTCTTGGCCCCTCCCCACTGACCACCCTTAGCCTACAAGACACCAGACCTTGACACAGGCTCTCTGGTGGCCAGGAGGCAGCTGACATTGCTGAGGGCCTGCTCCTAACTGGGAAAGGCCTGAGTCCTGAGCCATGGATCCACTGAGAAAGCCCAAGTGGACCAGCAGCTGGACCTAAAGGGGTTCTCTCTGAATCCATGGCAAAGCCTCTACCTTTCCATGTGTGCGAAGCAGCTGTGTGCAGCTCTCCCAGAGGAGCTAGGGCCAATGGACCACATGCTGCTTTAGCCCTGTTGAGACTTGGGACGGTCGTGGTGGAAGAAGTGGGCAGCGGCTTGCCTGCCTTTCGATCTGGGTGGAGAGGCTTGTTGAGGGGTGGACTGGCTGGGGCTCCCCAGCTTTCACTGGCACCTCAAGGCCCTCTCCGTGTCCAGCCAGGCCCAGGCTCCTCTGGACAGGCCTTTCACAAAGCTTTCAAAGAACAGGGGCCCAGTCTCTTACCCTCGCTCAATACCCTGTCTCTTAGGGTTAGGGAGCTCTTCTGTTTCTTTCTCCTCCATCCTTTCGTTACGACAGGGGCACACTATGATTCCCTCAGCAACGGAGGTTACGAGTGAAGGCTCTGGTATAAACCTGGCTCCATTTGATCTGGGCTCCAGCATCTATTAGCTGAGTTCCTTTGACCAACTCAATCTCTGCTAACTTGTTTCTTTCTTTCTCTCTTTCTTTCTTTCTTTCTTTCTTTCTTTCTTTCTTTCTTTCTTTCTTTCTTTCTTTCTTTCCTTTTTAATCCTCACCTGAGGATATATTTCCATTGATCTTTTAAAGAGAGTGCAAGAGAGAGGCCAAGGCATCACGGGGGGCAAGGAGCCACTTAGCAGATGGGCTGGGCATCTGATCTACCACCAGTAGATCAGAACGCTCCCACTATCAATCTGCCATCCCGGCCAAGACAGACAGAAACATCAATTGGTTGCCTTCTGCATGCGTCCCAACCAGGGCCCAGGCCAGGGAGGAGCCTGTAACCAAGGTATGTGCCCTTGACTGGAATCGAACCCAGGACCTTTGGATCCACAGGCCGATGATCTGAGCCAAACTGGCTAGGGCCGTTTTCTGACCTCTAAAATGGACATAATCGCCGTGCCTCAGTGATCAGTATTGTGTGCAATCAGTGAGACAGAACGCATGTGAAACATCTAGCACAGTCCTTGGCACACGTCAGCTCTTAGTCCAAGTGAGATCATAGTTGTCTCCTCCTCCTCCTCCTCCTTCCCCTCCTCCCCCTCCTCCCCCTCCTCCTCCCCGGGGAATCTGCTGAGGAAGGCGCCCGGAAGAGGGCATGTGTGTCTCCCCTTTACAGTAGCCAGGTGTTGGGGTGACGCGGGCCCAAATGGCCAAGTGGCTACGGGACTACCTGAGCTTTGGCGGTCGGAGGCCCCCTCCGCAGCCACCCACTCCCGACTACACGGAAAGCGACATCCTGCGGGCCTACCTGGAACAGAAGAACCTGGACTTCGAGGACCCTTATGAGGACGCGGACAGCCGCCTGGAGCCAGACCCTGCGGGCCCCGGGGACTCCAAGTACGACTCTCCCAAGCACCGGCTCATCAAGGTGGAGGCAGCCGACATGGCCGAGGTGGCCAGAGCCAAGGTCTTGCTGGGCAGTGCAGGGGCGGAGGTGCGTGGCTAAGGGTCGGAGCTGGGTGGCCCTAAGAGACTGGGCGGGGAGGACCAGGCTGGGCCCTGGACTTTGGGGAGCATGTTGAATGTGTGACCGCAGACACTCCCCAGTCCCTCACCTGCTGGGCGAAGTGTGATGTCTGTCCCTTTGCAGCGCACAGTGCTGGTCCACCCACCTCTCTGCCTGCCCTGCACTGTCCTCGCCCCTGACTTCCCTCTCCAGGCCCCTCCCCCAGTGTCCCTTCCTCTGGGCAGCTGGAGGAAGCTTTCTAAAACAGACGTGAGCCATTCGCTCCCCTACTGGGCATCCTCACCACTACTCCCTGAACTGCCTGTGTTATTATTCCCATTTAACAGACCTGGAAACTGAGGCTCACAGGAAGGTACAGAAGAAATTTGCCTGTGGTCACATGGTCTAACTCCAGACCTGCCTCCAATGCCCATGATTTTTGTAGTATTTTTCTTTTTCTTTTTTAAATATATATTTTAAATTGATTTCAGAGGAAGGGAGAGGGAAAGAGAGATAGAAACATCAATGATGAGAGAGAATCATTGATCGGCTGCCTCCTGCATGCCCCCTATTGGGGATCGAGCCCACAACCCTGGCGTGTGCCTTGAACAGGAATCCAACTGTGACCTCCTGGTTCATAGGTTGACCTTCAACCACTGAGCCACGCTGGCGGGGCTATAGTATTTTTCTTAGAGGATCACTGCAAACCCTCAATGGAAACAGAGAAGGATTTGGGGAGGATTAGGAGAGACTGTGTTGGGTTGATGGTACAGAAAAGGGAGAAGGAGGCAGGGACTCAGACAACCTGGGATCAAAACCTGCCTCTTACCAGCTCTGTGACCCTGAGCAAGTTACTTACCCACTCTGTGCCTTGGTTTCCTCATCTGTAAAATGGGGATAATGTTGATATGACAAGTAAATATATATCAAGCATTTAGAACAGTGCTGGCAGCTGATAAACTTTAAAATTATTGAAGCCCTAGTCAGTCTGGCTCAGTGGAGAGAGTGTTGGCCGGAGGACTGAAGAGTCTCGGGTTTAATTCCGGTCTCGGGCATGTATCTCAGTTGCAGGTTCAGGCACATGTGAGTGGGAGGCATCCAATGGATGAGTCTCTCACATCGATGTTTCTCTGTCTGTCTGTCCCCTTCCCTTCCACTCTAAAAGCAATGAAAAAAAAAGCATCCTCGGGTGAGGATTAACAAAAAAAAACTGCCCTAGCCGTGTTCAGACTAAAGGGTCCCAGGTTCGATTCCGACCAAGGGCACGGCCCAGATTGCAGGCTAGATCCCCCCAGTAGGGGGCGTGCAGGAGGCAGCCAATTAATGATTCTCACCATTGATGTTTCTATCTCTGTCTGTCCCCTTCCCTTCCACTCCAAAAGCAATGAAAAAAAGCATCTTTGGGTGAGGATTAACAAAAAAAACTTCCGTAGCCGTGTTCAGACTAAAGGGTCCCAGGTTCGATTCCGGCCAAGGGCACGGCCCAC